CTGATCAGGAAAACAAACTCTATGATGAACTTCACAAAACGCCAAAACAAATAAACTCGTGTAGGTGCTTCTACGGGTTTAAACACAGTATGAGGGGTGTTGGAATCTGCTGAGCAGGAAAAAAAAGAGGAAGTAATGTTCTCTGTCTTTCCATTTCACATCTCCAGCTAACAGGGAACAGAGTTTATCATTTCTGAGAGCAGCCTGTTGGATGTGGCACAGCAGTATAGCTAATTTATGGGTCAATATAAACTTCCATCACCGCAGAGTGAAGCTGAAAGCTGTGCTGGCCTGTGGCAGGGAAGAGGAATAGAGCAGGACCTCTAAATCGTACCGACAGAGGAGGGAGGAAAAGGCTCGGGCAGGGCGTCGCCGCAGAACGCCACGCAGAGGCTGCAAATAAACAAACACACACGGTCGTATACAATCACAATTACACTCCTGTTGAAGGGTTTCTCCCGGAAATAGAATTAAGGAGGCTTAGCTCAAAAATTTTCTGCAGCCTTTACGAAACCCTGACCGTATATTCAATAATAAAACTGTCTGTCACAGCAGCGCATTAAATGCATCGCTTCTCGCGGTAATTGCGGCGGGGCGGGCGGCGTGAGGTGCACAGACAACGCAACAGGGCGATAGTTTAGATCATTAGTGTGTACTATTAAAAACATAATCCATATTACTAACAACGTGTGGTGAACGGTTTGATCTGAACCGCAGACAGAATACAGAAAAAAACACCACTGCAGGATGATGATGGAGCGGAGAGTCGGAGCACCGATCAACTAGTTTCTCTTTAGCTGCTGCTTTTCACCTGAACGCATCGCTGGACGCCTGTGGAAACAGCAGATGTTGAAAGTGGGAAGATAACATTTAGTTGTCCTTGCGAATGCCTTACTATTGTCTTTTTCATTAAAATTTCAAAACACGCCCATCTGCTCGGGCTCACACTTGACTGAAACAATGAGCGTTTAGTCACATTCTGTGTATCTTCAGCTCTGCATCGGTGTTTATAATGTGGCGACCCTCTTTCACAAACAACACCGAGTCACACGTCACGGCAGGAAAAAAAAAAAGGCGCAGATGTAAGGAGTAATCTTAAACACTGCTGCATTCCAGTCAGACGCTCCAGATGCCGCGTCCTGGCAAAGCGTCGTGAAACACATAAACGGACCGGAGCTGGAGAAAGTGAAAATCCCTGGTTCAGCCCCTATTCTATTAAAACTAAAAGCAGTTTTAACTCCAAATCACCTCATACAATTATACAGGAGCAATATTCTGAGACTAAAAAATCATTTCCGTTTAAAAATGTAAGACCTTCGTCTCATTTTGAGCTGGGAAACCCTTTCTAATAAAAGATTTCTGTCAGACGTTAAGTTGCACAAAACTGCTAAATTTGGATTTGCACCATATGTGTAGTTGCTAAAATAAATCCTGTACATCTCCCATTAACTGTATATAAAAACAAAAGTCACCAATTGGTTTGTGAAGTACCTTTTTGACGCCTTCAGGTTAAAATCAGCCATCGTCGTCTGGGATTTTATAAACCGAGAAAGACGTGGATCTGATTGACAACTTGAGATCAATGTAATTTCCACATACGCCACCGAATTGTGAATTCCAAGGTAGCCACGCCCTTTAGCGTACACCGGTTTATCATCTATTTAGTGCAATATTTTACACGATAAAAATCATTCGGTACTAAACAAGATGTGAAACGAGCGACTCAGATCATAAACTCATCAGGACAATGTTCACTGAGGCAACAAATCAAGTAACAAGTAAAGTCATTTTCTCATAAACTACTATACAATCAGGCTTGTTTTTGTAACCCAAGAAGTCGCCCCCTGCTGGCCATAAGAGAAAATGCAGAATTAAGCTACTTCCACACTGGCATCAATTTTCAGACTTGCATCTTGTAGATGCAGTTATAGGATTTCTACACACATCTATGTTTATGGTTATTGTTTTTAGTTTAAAGTTTTTGACCACCTCAATCGTTTGGATAACTGAAGGTTATACTGAAGGCTGAGCAGTTCCTGCCGTTGATGATTCGTCAGGAGGTGTACAGTTTTCTGATCTCTGTTTCGTTCTGCCTTTTGTGGGATGTTGCTTCGTCTAAAGGTCACAGTGGACCCAGAAGATCGGCAAGCGTTGAGGCGAATCGATGCACAAAGTAAATCTGAGTTTACAAATGGCGCATTTTGCCGAGAAGCAATCGTCGCTGCAGTTCTCACGGTTTGCCAAATTGCCTCTCCGTGGACGTACAGGTAACGCCACCGGATCGCAAAAGTGTGAAAATCCTCCGGCAAGTTCTTGAGTAACGTGAGCTTTCTTTGCTTTTTATGATTTCTAAGCAGATTTGCAAACATTTATTTGCAACAGATATCAGAGATAATGAAATCATCTGGAAGTATAAGTCACACTGAATCGAAAAATATGTGTTTTGCATCTGTGTTCGTATTTGACTGAGTTATGACTTGGAGCAGAAGTAGCTCAAGTTCCTTAATTGCCTCCAGGAGTTGTGTGTCACAGCCGCCGCTGCTGCTGATGCTGACAGTGCTGGCGAACGGGCCGAATCAGCACGGAGGAAAACTACAATAACTAAATTCCTGTTGCTTCCAGAACACCAGCATGCATTTGTCCTTTTCACCTCGAGCAATATCTCCGCCTCAGGTCTCCTGTTCCAGACGCCTCGCAGTTTGAAAACGTTTGGGCCGATAGTATCACGACACCGGCCATGTTGGTTAAAAAAAAAATCCTCTCCTGCTCTTCTGACTAAAAGACTCACATTTTTCTTCCAACACGAGACAGACTGAAACCATTTTTCTTAATCCTCACCTTTGAGCCGTTGCATCAGCGTGCAAACACAACAAAGCTGCACTCGGTGTACTCCAATTTGTAAGCAGCACTCCGTTTGAGTCGGTCTCGCTTTGTTGTTTACACCATTAGCTGCCTTGAATCTTTACGTACCACACGTAAACACACACGGTCACCGACGTTTAAGTCTGCAGCGCTTGGTAAACATTTTCTATCATATATACAGACTCTGTGTCTGGATGTCCCGGTTTTACTGCTCGTACGTCTCCTCCTTTGACAGCTCCATTGTAAAACTTGCACCACGAGACGGGGTGAAGGGTTCTGACTGCAACATATGTGCCCATGTTCAATAATTCAAGCACCACACAACCTCATTTCAATTCGAGCTGGCAAGGACGATAATTTTTCACAGGACGGCTTTGCTGAAATCCTCCCCTCATCCTCCCCCAATGATTTGAAACTACACAGCTCCTCTCTGTGGTACATCTCCAGGTTTATCTCATCTACCACCGAGACCGAACAAGAGGGAATTAATGATGTAATTCAGTGTAAACACAGAAGTGGAGCCGCAGAAAAAAACTGATTTAGAGTCTGTGTCAATACCTACTGAGAGAAACTGAGCGCAGGAACCGATTTTAAATCTAAAATTCTCTTTACGCGTGCACTAAACAAAAACAAGGTTCATTTAGTCCAATAAGGAGCCTGTCTTTCAAGCTTCCCCATCTGAAGAAAACACCAGATAAACACTCGCCGTCGACGTAAACCCGCCCGACACCTGAACGCGAAATCAGAACAAGTGATGAAAGGTTTGCAAAGATGCAAAACCTCAAACAAAATGAAAGTTTTTACGAGTCTCAGCGTTCAGGTTTCTAATTAAGAGGAAGCTGGGAAAAAAAAAAAATGCTAAAAATAATTTATTTAAAAGACATATATTTTTAATTAGCTCCTCATTTTAACTGTGTCCCAGCGGTTCCTCTTCTACTGAATAGGTGTAATGAGTCCTGCTGCCTTTAGGAGCTCGTAACAATGAGAGAACCGGTAATTAGCTTGGGTTTCACTGCAAAGCTTTAGAGTCCCACGTTGGTCGCTAAAGCGCTCCAATGAGTTTTTTTTTTTATTGAACAGAAACACTGAATATACGAGCTGAATATTTTGGTGTAAAAATTGGAGAAGTCAGTGAGCTTTGGACTGTCTGTGTTGGCCTTAGATTCCAATCTATTCTAATTTTGTCAAATTCAGCGAATATCCCAGAATGGTCTGCTGGCTGTCTGTTCTGTGTCTGTGCTGAAAAAAATAATCCGCCGTTCGTACACAGCTTTTGGCTCTGCAAATGGGAAACAAATAAAGTGGCTCAGACTGATCCGCACGGCACTATTCCAGCATATCCTGTGCACATTAGAGCGTGCACATGTTCGTACTTGTACACAAGAGGGAGGAAATAGGGAGACGGAGGGGCAGCTCGAGCCAGAGGGGCAGTAAAGCTCGCACATGCAATCTTAAATATGAACTCTCCAGAACCACAGACTCCACCTTGAAACCCAGGTGGGACGATAATAATGATGGTTATGATCAAGCCTTATCCAGGCTCCGCATGAGGGCACTCGAGCATCTGAGTGATGGGCTGGGAGGTGGAAAGTTCTCACACTCTGTGTTTATGTATTTGCAATGAAGGAAGAGAGACGGGGAGGATAGGAAACAAAAAGGCCAGCAAACCAAATTAAAAAACCCCACAACACAGCCGGAGGGTTCATTGAGTGTCTGATCAATGAGTGCAGCCTCAGCCAAAAGGAGTCAAAGAGGGGAAAAAAAATGAGAACAGAAAAGAAAGGAAATGGAGAAGAAATGCTTCTGACCGGTGACTAGAGCCTTGGTGAGAGGCACAGAGCGAGAAAATGCAATGTAGTGACCGATGTGTCCACCTTGAGCGGCGCAGCCTTGCAAAATGAGAGTGTGATGGATCAGACAGAGAGAGGTGATGCTGCCGACAGCCTTGGACCGAACGAGGAAATGAATGGCGGTTGAAAGTTGTGCACAGAGAAATCACACCAGGAATTAAAAGCAGGACAGATATTTGTTTAAACACACACGCAATTGACACCAGAATACACACAGAGAATACACAGAGAATACAGAAATGTGCTGTCCAGTGTGTGTGCATCGTATTTGACGGACAGTGCACTGACCTGTGAGCACAGCCTTGGCGGAGGGTTCAGCCAGGTCCAGGGCGGACTTGCCGTCGGTGTTGCGGATGTTGGGGTCGGCTCCATGCTGCAGTAACACTGTACAACAACAGGGCAGACACAGACAGTAGCTGAGCTCCTGGACTGACATGCAAACTCCTCGGCAAACACCTCCTCCCAGTCCACCTCCTGCTCCTCCTGCTGCTACTGCCGAGCCACATCCTGCTCCATAAACTGCTCTTCCTGAACCTCCTCCTTTTTCTACCACTTGATCCTCTGCTATCCCTCCTGTTCCTCCTCCTCCTCCTCCTCCTGGCTCTCCTGGCAGCGCTTCTGCAAGTCCTGCTTCACGTTTCTCTCCTCCACCTCCTCCTCCTCCTCTGGCTGCTCCTCCTCTGTTGCTAGTGCTGCTCCCTCGGCTGCCCCTGGCTGCCCCTGCCCTGCGAGCCATGCTGCTGATGTAAACAGACATGCCACAACAAAAAGCAGCGACTGCTACGCTACACCACACTGCCGGAGAAACGGCGGACCCAGCGAAACAGCTACGTGACCGGCGACAAAACACATCACACTTCCACGGGCGAGGGAGGGAGGGAGGCCTGTGATGGAGCTCTGGAGATGAGTGAAAAAAAAAATAAAAATAAAAATGAGTGAGGAAGGGAGAGGCGAGGGACCACAGCTAATCGAGGCAGCAACAGCGACGAGGCGGGCTGGCAGTGCGAGTGGAGAGACTCTCGCCTCTCCAACTGACTGAGCGATGCAGCGGAGAGCGAGATGAGAGAGGAGAGGGGGGAGAGAGAGAGAGAGAGACGGGGGGAGACAGGAGAGGACGGGAGGGGGGCTGAGAGTCGGAGAGGATGGGAGAGGTAGAGGACGAGGAGAGGGGAGGAAGAGCACAACAAAACATCATGTGAAGCACAGACACAGAGAGAGAGGGCAGGGAGTGAGGAAGGGAAAGGAAAGGAAAGGAAAGGAAAGGAAAGGAAAATGTAGAAGGAGAGACAGGAAAGGAAAGGAAAGGAAAGGAAAGAAGCACA